GGGGGCGGCGCGGGGCCGAGAGGGGCGGCGATCCCCCCCGCCCAGAGCCCCGGAGCCCCGGCGGGCCCGGCCCCGGAGCGCGGCCGCCGCCACGGGACGGGAGATGCGGATCCTCCTCCTGTGCCTGCTGACTCTCGCCGGGACCCGCGGGCAAGGTGGGCACCGGCACCGGGAACCGGGAGCGGGAACCGGCACCGGGAACCGGGATCGGGAGCCGGGATCGGGCACCGGGCACCGGGCACATCGGGCACCGGGCACCGGGCACCGGGCACCGGGCACCGGGCACCGGGCGTTGCGAGGGCAGCGGGCGCTGGACACCGGGAGCGGCACCGGGAGCGGCACCGGGAGCGGGACCCGGAGCGGGACCCGGAGCGGGACCGGGAGCGGCAGCGCGGCCGCCCCGGAGCGCCGTTCCCAACTCCGCGGGCAGCGCTCCAGCCCCGCTGGCCGCCGGTCCCGCCCGTTCCCGGCGGGATGAGAGCCCCGAGGGGTCCCGGGGGGTTCTGGCGGTGCCGGCGGGCCCGGGCTCGCCGCTTGCGGAGCCGCCGTTGTGGTACCGGAGGGTTCGGGTGCAATCGCGGCCGGTTCGCCTCAATCCCGGGCCCGGTTTGGCCAAATCCCGGGGTGGCTTCTGGTGGATTCCCTCGATCCGGTACCGGGGGATCCCGGTGGGAGCGGGCCCGCTTCTCCCGAACCCCAGGGCTGGTTCTCGTGGACCCCCCTTCGGTACCGGGGGATCCCGGTGGGACCGGGCCCGCTTCTCCGCGCTCCTGGGGCTGCTCCTCCTGGACCCCCCCTCGCTGCCCGATGGAACCGGGCCCGGCTCTCCTGGACCCCCCCTCCGGTACCGGGGGGTCCCGACGGAACCGGGCCCGGTTCTCGCTCCCCGGCCCCGCTCCGTTCCCCCCCGGTTCCGGTGCTGTGGGAGCCCCCGGACCGGGACCGAGCTTTTGGGGCCGGGTCCCCATCCCGGTTCCCGGGGCCGGTCCGGGCGGGGGGGGGTCGAGGACCCTGGGGTCAAACGGGACCCCCGGGAGGGGGCGGGGGGACGTGACCCGGCCTGGGGGGGGTCCGTCCGTCCGTCCGTCCGTCCGTCCGTGGCGAGTGCAGGCGCCGCCCCCGGGGGGGCCCCCAGGACCCCAATCCGGGCATTCCTTGGGAGAGGGGCTGGGGGCAGCCCGGACCCCCCCTTC